AGACAGGTGTGTGTGTGTGTGTGTGTGCGCTCATTAAAGGATTATAAGTTTAATTTCTTTGTTAGAATAAATACTGCTCAAATTTTTGATAATATGTTTAGAAATGGAGAAGTCATGGACGGTTGTACAATTTATTGGCGAAGATACCGTTGAAGCTGTGCCATCTACCTGGATTATTAATAATAAATGTTATTGGCCGCCATTTCAAATGGAAAAAATTGTAGCGGCAATCAAAAAACATGCCGAACCTAACACATGTTGGCCTTCATACGATATTATAACTTTTAGAAACAGCACTTATGGTAATACAAAATTAATATTTAAATGCATTATTTTTCTACTTAATAATATAACTAATCAATAACATTGTTATTTTTTATTGTTTGTTTTATTATAATAACAATATTTATTTATATATATGTAGATAACTATGGAACAGCTAGAGAAAAAGCTAAAAAGGCTGAATTTACATCTGAATTGACTTCCGATAATGACAATAACAAAAATACGAAAAGAAAAATTAATCGGAGAAAGTTTTCTTCGTCATCAGACGATTCTGTTGAAGAGCATACTAAATTATCTACCCCTCCAGTTATGCAAGGTTTGTTTTAATGTTAAACATTTTATAATATAATGTAAATTATTAAAATTTAATTATTTTAACTGCAAAATCTATTTTGAGATTTTTAATTTATTTTATGCAATTTAATGGTTGCAGTTTTTTACATTGTTTATTTTATATAAATGGAATTGTCCTTTTCTTTTAATTAAAAGATACCGAATTGGCTGCTAATACAGCCGGGTATTGCATTTGCGATCATAACATAAAAAATTCAATGCTAATTGCAAAATGTTAAAATATTGACTTTCCTAAAAAATTTTAGAGCAAAATTCCATTTAAATTTTTTGAAAGACGTATTAAGGTCAGTCGATGATTAAAATTTAAACAATTGTTTTTAACAAAATTTAATATTAATGGTAAATATGTTTTCGATAGATTTTTGGAGATCAAAAATTTATATTTAACAATATATTTTTAAAGTAAGCCAATAAAATAAATTTAGGTTTTACACATTCCTTACAGAAATCCAATTCAAAATATTGGAAAGTAGTAATTATTTACTTATTTTGAGTATTAAAGCACTGAATAACAGTGTGCTTTTAATATTCAAAATAATTTGAGTAACTAATCATTATTTTCTACTATTAAATTTCTGTAAAGTCTTTCTCTTTTGATATATTTTTTAAAAAAAATGTATATAAAATTTTGCTCAAAACAAGTTAAAAGCAGCCAATATTTTAACATTATATCATTATTGAATGT